TTGGCTGAGTCACTGAGCTTTGCTGAATAGCAGTCTCCTGAAAGCCTGAAACCACTGGGGCAGTGGCCGGCAGAGTCCAAGAGATGGCTGGCTATCTGAGCCCAATGGAGGCTTTCTGTGTGGTTCTCCTCTGTGTACACCTGACCTAAACTGTCCCCCATGCCTGCTGCCCAGGCTGGTGGCTTGTCCCCAGAGTCCTCAGCCTCACAAGAACGAGCCATCCAGTAACATCTAACCTTCTTGTCTTTTCCCCAGGCCCTCCAACCACAGGTAGGTAGCTTGTGGCTCGGGGACTCAGGCATGTGACGCTGGTTCTGGGCCTGGGTATCCTGGTGCAATGCCTTGGTGTGGGTTCCCTGCACTGTGTGGCCTGGCTTGGATTGGGCCTGAGGTCTCATTGCTTGGGCTGTCTGGAGCCTGGCTAAGCTGAGGTGCTGGGAGCTGGAGCTGTATTTGCCTCTGGGCTGGGCTGCTGCAGGTTCTCCAGTGCTCTTCTTCCATCCCGCAGGGGCCAGCTAGAGATCAGCAGCCTGGTGCCTCTGGGGCCCAAGTATGTGGTGAAGTGGAACACAGCGCTGCCCCAGGTGCAGGTCGTGGAGGTGGGTCAGGATGGCGGGGCCTACGACAAGGACAATCTGCTCATCCAGCATGCGGGTGCCAAGAAGGCCACGGCTGCGGGGCAGGCTCAGAGTGAGTACTGCCTGGCTGCTGCCCCTCGCATGTTAAGCTTATAACCTGGGCCAGGAACCATAAACAGGTGGGGCTGGGCCTGGAGGGTCTTGCTGTTGTACCTCAGTGCAGACCTGTGGCTTCACAGGCACAGGCATGCCCTTGTGGTCTCATTGCTGCTGCACACCCTACACACGTTCCCCACCTGGTGCTAGGGTCCCTCACGCCCAGCTCACACAGCGACAGGGGCCAGGTGTGAATTGACAATTGCCTCCCGTGGGACCTTGGGACAGGGGCCTTCTGTTTGTTCCCTCTGTGCCTCCTGGTAGGTTGAGGGACTAGAGATACTCCTCTTACCCCTGATCTCCAGGGGTGCTAGGGAACTCAGGTCTGTCTGTCCTTTCCTGGGCCCATGTCTCCCCATCCTAACCCAAGTTCTCAGACTCTTGGAAGACGGGAACAACTTAGAAGCCAGAGCCTCCTGCCTGGTCGCATCTCCCTATCTGCTCTCTGCTTGCACATTGGTCACCGTCACTGTGCATCTGTCCTGCAGTGGCCTCTGACTGCTTTTCTCCTTTGTCCCCCCCCTGAGTCCCCCCTGTACCTTCCCCTGAGTTTATTTCAGATGGAGTATATGTTTGTAGTACGCTACTACCACCTCACTGTTCTGATGCATTAGGTCTAGAGACCCGTGTGCTCCTCTGATGTGGCTCCTTAGCCTCTCTGGGTCTTGCAAGGGGTCCTGGCAAGGGGGTGTACCACCTTTGTCTGCAGGTCTTCCCCAGTCTGTGCCTTTCTTGCTGTTTGAATTAGGATGCCTGCCCTTCCTCCTCTTCCCATGCCAGTCTCTCTGATGGCCTGAGCTTGGGCCAGAGCCCCGTCATGGACTCTCTAGGTCTCAGGCTGAGTTTTCTGAGGTTGCCACATTCCTCATGGTGGGGAGGGCATGATGGTAGGTGTGTTCTGCAACTGGTCACATCGCATTCATAGTTCGGGAGCAAAGAGAGGTGGAGTTGGTGCTGGGTTTGCTTTCTCCTATTTGGCCCAGGGCCCCAGCCTTTGGGGCAGTACTGCCCACATTCATTCAGAATGGGTCTACCCACTTCAGTTAACATAATCTCCTCATAAAGCTCAGAGGTGTGTCTCCTAGGCGATTCTAGATCCTGTGAAGTTGCATTGATCATCACAACTGACAATTGGTTGCATGGAACCTTGGTTTCAGCCAGGGCCTTGGGCCCAGGGACACTAAACCGCAGGCCAGGCAGAGCAGAGTCCTGCGCACAGTGCGAGGCACTTGAGTTTCGCTTCCCCTCCCCACCACCGCTCTGCCCACAGCCCTGCCTGAGTGCTTGCCTCACTGGCCCCCGAAACTCTGGAAATTTTGAGGCATGATTGCGACAGCTGTTCTGGCCCTCTGAGGCCGCACCAGTGTCCGCTTCCAGATCTGTGAGTGAGGCGGGAGAGGCGGGCAGCCCCTCTTGGGTACCTTCAACATCATTCGACTCCCTTCTTCTTGGCCACCCCCATGCTGTTGCTATGGAAACCCCTGTGTCCCCCACTCTGTCCTTCTGCAGCCATGTTCCTTAAGCTTGACCCCCTTGAAAGGAGAGAGGCTCTGTAGGTTCTTGGTTAGCCATAGATTGTTTTTTATTAATATTATTATGCAAATATGGATACACAGAAAGCTCCTTGCATTTTACACATGCTCTTTTAGACCTTGAACAACAGTAAAACCTAAACAAAACACAAACTGGATAAAAATAACACTATCGGACAGCAAATAAAATTCCTGTCTGCAGTATTAATTTGTTGCGACAGGTGACATTTTGTTTTGTTGAACCCAAACTGCTCACAGGATAGATGCAGCATACTTTCCCACAAGTGGGTCCCCACCCTGTCCCCAGCCCACATCCTACAGGGCTGCTCATGTGGGGCTCCATCTTCCCACCAGCCTCCATCCTTTGGGCATTTTATACCTGTTAGTGCATCGCTACCGTTCCGTGTGCCCCTGCTCTTCGCTGGTTACCCCCTCAGCCCCCAAGTCCTCTAAAGCCCTGACCCCATACAGCAGAATGTGACATCAAAGTCACAATATCCCAGGGGCATGGGATATGCAACTGCATCTTAACCCCAACAGTGAACCAGAAAGAGGCCTCAGCCACCTTACATAGCCCGAGAAACCATGACTTACTCAAGGACGCCTCTGCCCACCGTGTCTCCTCTATTTGTGTCACCATCAGGGCCCTAGGCCCTCTCAGTCCCCACCACGGGCTCGTCACACTGGTACCTTTCTCCCAAGCATTTTCTACCAAATGACTAATGCCCTTCCCTCCCCTGCTGTCTGCCCATCCCCCTGGGTCCCAAGACCCAGGCAGAGCAGGGACCCTGCCTACATTGCGTAGCAGGTCCTCCATATGTCATTGAACAGTTTGCTGCTCATGGGCTGCTGTTAACCTCGGTACCTTTGCACATGCTCTTCCCTGGCTTGGCTGTACCCATCACATTCTGGCTTGGAATAGGCGCCTCAGTTTTTCCAAGCATGGCTGATATAGTCTTTTGGCCCTTGTGAGCCTCTGTACAACTGTGGCACCATTCCATGTGCGACACCTTCCTTCTGCTGGGACCTCTCTCCCTGGTCAAATCTCCTCCAGCGTTCCCAGTGCCTCTTCTCTATGGACATGGCTTACTTTTCCCTGTCGGCAGATGCTTACCTCCCCCAGCCCCAAGGCTGAGTCCGGTGTCTTCTCTACCAGACAAGGTGTACCTGGGCCCGCCGCGCCTCTTCCAGGAGTTACAGGACCTGCAGAAGGACTTGGCAGTGGTGGAGCAGATCACCCTGCTTGTCAGTACCCTGCATGGCACTTACCAGGTGGGCGTGGCCCCGGGAATGGTGAGGGGGCATCCCTGCATGGTACTCCAGTGCACCCTGGCTCTGAGCAGGGAGCCGTGGTAAAGGCTGGGAACCTCCTGACCCTTCCAGAAACCTTTGCACACGTCTGGCTTTGTGTGATAGTTGGGGGTCTTACAGATCCTCCCTGACCTCTGCCCCAGGTTGCAAAGCCTCTGGTCAGGAGGGCATCCCTCTTGGAGGAAGCGGCGGCTGGGTGGGCTCTCATCCAGGGCTAGGAAGTCCTGAGTATAGGTGGGATTGCCTCCTCTGTGGCTAGACTATCCCCTTCCCTGGGTGCTGTCACTGTTAGGACTTGTGTGGTTTGGAGCAAGCCAGGAGACGGTGGTGACCCCTTTCCTCCCCAACACTAGAACCTGAACATGACTGTGGCCCAGGACTGGTGCTTGGCCCTGCAGAGGCTGATGCGAGTGAAGGAGGAGGAGATCCACTCGGCCAACAAGTGCCGCCTGAGGCTACTCCTGCCTGGGAAGCCTGACAAGTGAGGGGGAGTCTGGGAGGGAAGGGGGTGCTCAGAGAGAGAGCCTGGGTCAGGACTGCCCTGAGGAGAGAGTACACACCCGCTGAGGATTGTGCCCCGGCCAGCACCTGGCACACGATAGGAACTTAGGAAAGAATGCACAAATGAATGAACATGTTGCTAACACCCTGGGTCAGCTTGGTTCTCTGCTGGCGGACTCCTATCCTCAGTCTCCAGTTAGTCCACCGCGTCATGCCCTCCTTCCTCACCTCAGCCTGTGGCCCCAGATCCTTCTTCACAGACCCAGCCTCCCCAGTTCAAGGTCCTCTGCTCACAAGATCTCCGCAGGAGCTGTGGGTCCCTCTCTCAGTGTGTAGAAGCCATTCCGAGGTAGCAAGGAACTAGGGCAGTGAGAGCTGGCCTTCCTCCAGCTCCGTAGGGTGTGTCTCAGTGGCCTCACTTTACAAACCAGGAATTGAGGTCAGAGGGCCAGGGCCAGGCGCAGAACAGGGGCTTTGCTTGGGAAAGGAGGTGGGTTCCTTGCAGAGGGGGCTCTGGGCAGGGAAGTGCTGCTGCTCAGGTGTGGGCCTCTGGGCAGGGGACGATAGTGACATGGCAACAGGTGCAGAGACGCAGGAGGAGAGAGCAGGGTCCTCATGTCGAGTGTGGGAGAATGCAGTCTGGGCTTCAGTCCAGGTTGTCCCCATCCCTGCTCCTGTCCTCTCTCTCTCAGACACCCTAGAGTGACACAGCTATGCCCACCTCCCTGGGTGCCTGGGTCACTTACAGGACTCTAAAGGGGTCCCAGCTGCTCCAAGGCCACCTCCTACCATCTTATCTATCCCTCTCTTCCGTGGACACTTCCCTCCCTCCCTTCCTCCCTCCCTCCCTCCCTCCCTGCCTTCCCCCCTTCTTTCCTCCATCCCTCTGTCCCTTCCTTTCTCCCATCTTCCTTCTATCTTCCTTTCTTTCCTTCTTCCTTCCTCTTTTCCTTACTGCATTTGTCCTCTCTACAACCATCTCACAGAGTGACTGCCCTGTGCCAGGTGCTGGAGAGAGACAGCGCGAGGTCCTTTCCCCCTCTGTGGAATGCTGGCAGGTGGTGATGCCAGGCCCTTAGCTGGGCATAAAGCCAGGGCCATTGGAGGTCTGGGACTGGGCTACCAAGAATGGCTTAGCTCCTCAAGCCAGGTGCCCCTGCCCATCACAGAGAATGGAAGGAGGTCTCCCCAAGGTGCTGGCCACAGGCCTCCAGGAACATGGATTGAAAAAGAGCCAAGGTGAACCAAGGCCTTCCGTGGCCTACCGGGGATCTGAGCCTCTCTCCCAGGCACCCATGGGGTCCTGTCTCATCTTGCCCTCCGCAGGTCTGGCCGCCCCATCAGCTTCATGGTGGTCTTCATCACACCGAATCCCCTGAGCAAGATTTCCTGGGTCAACAGGCTGCACCTGGCGAAGATTGGACTCAGTGAGTACAGCCAGGGCAGGTGTAGGGAGGGAGGTTGAGCGTGTGAGCCCATGGTGGTCAGTGAGGCAGGGGCATTTCCCGGTGGGAGGGAGTGAAACCATGCAGAAATGCCTGGAGCTCAGCTCTGAACCTTGGACCAGTCTCTTTCTCTCTCAGCTTCTCTCTGACCTGACACAAAGTGAATTAGCAGCTACCAGGGCCCCAGTGAGGGAGGCAATGCCTAGGGAGTGAGTGCCGAGTCTTCCTGGTGCACAAGGTGACGGCAGCCTGCCTGCTAACTAGCTGTACAGGAAAACAAATAGCAGGCTGGACTCAGCTGATCTTAGCCAAAGGCCTCCTTAGTGCCCAGCATGGTGGCATATGCAATAATCCTAGCACTTGGGAGGCTGAGGCAGAAGGATTTGGGGTTCAAGCCTAGTCTTAGCTGCAGAGCAAAGCTGGAGCTGGTTTGGGTCACAGGAGACCCGGGGCTTATAAAGCTCACATAAACAAATAATAAACCGGAAACCTCTATATGACTGTTTCCGCCTTGTACCCATTAGTACTGATACAAAGAAGTCAGTGGAAGACTATAGAATGCTGCCGGGGTAGCAGATACTTGCAAACTTCCACATACGTCTACGCCATTGTTCACAAGCTCCCTGAGCTAGGGCTGTTGAGAACTTTCTTTTTTAGTCATTGAGGACTCAAGCCTAGAGAGGTGCAGTGAATTTTGTGAAGTCACACAACAGAAAAGGGGTAGATGTAGGATACAGACACTGGGCATTGTGCCCCCGGGAGCCCAGGCCACCACCCTGTCCCTCTGTCCTATCCCTGCCACATTCCTGTTTGTTTTGCTACTTGGCATCTTGGTCAGTCAGAAGTGCTGTATGATAGATAGCCAGCTGATACTGGGACTGTTTCTTTACCTGCAAACAGAGACTGCACCTTCATTTCCTGACTGCCCAGACCCGAATAATCACATAAAAACTATATTAATTACAACACTGCTTGGCCAATGGCTCAGGCACATTATTCCTAGCTAGCTCTTATATCTTAAATTAACCTGTCTCTATTAATCTATGTATTGCCACCAGGCTGTGCCTTACTGTTAAGGTTTTGGCGTCAGCAGCGGCATGGCATCTCTTTAGCTCCGCCTTCTTTTTCCCTGAGTTTAGTTTGGTTTTCCCAGCTATATTCTGCCCTGACATAGGCCAAAGCAGCTTCCTTATTAGTCAATGATAATTAAAAATATCCACAGCATACAGAGGGACTCTCACATCATTTATCTTTACTGTGTATAAATGTGCTTTTTAATATTTATCTGATGTGTGGGTTTTATGTCTTTGTACCACATGCATGTAGTGTCCTCAGAGGCCAGAAAAAGGCATCAGATCCCCTGGAAATGAAGTCACAGATGGTTGTGAGCCATCACGTGGGTCCTGGGAACTGAACCTGGGTCCTCTGGGAAAGCAGGCAGTGCTCTTAATCACTGAGCCACCTCACCAACTCCCCACTTTTTTTTTCTGGGGCTCATTAACTGAGCTAGACTGGATGGCCAGCAAGCCTGAGGGATCTCTGCCTCTTTCACTTAAATGCTGCAATTGCAAGCACAGGCAACCGTTCCCAACTTGTTTGTTTCGAGCCAGGGTCTCCCCATGTAGCCCTGGCTGTTCTGGAACTCCCTCGCTATGGAGACCAGGCTAGCCTTGAAGTTACAGAGATCCACCTGCCTCTGCTTCCCATGTGCTGGGATGAAAGGTGTGTGCTGCTATACCTGGGGTTTCCCAGCTTTTTTTTTTTTTTTTTTTTTGGTTTTTCCAAACAAAGTTTCTCTATAGCGTTGGAACCTGTTCTGGAGCTCACTTTGTAGACCAGGCTAACCTCAGACTCACAGAGATCTGCCTGTCTCTGCCTCCCGAATACTGGGATTAAAGGTGTGTGCCGCCACCCAGCTGGCTTTTTTTTTTTTTTTTTAATGTGTCCTCTGCGAATGGAACTTGTGCTTGTAAGGCAGGTACCTTATGGACTGAGCCATCCTCTGACAAAACTCAGAAGGCCTTCTGCTCTTGAGGAACTTCAATTTGAGATGGACAGGTGGACATTAAGTGAGGTGCTGGATGGTGAAGTGGGGCCATGTGGCTGTCACTGAATGTGAGGGCTGCACCAGGGAGAAGCCATGGGAAGATCTGGGCCAAATGATGCAGGCGTATGCATCACAAGCACGCAGGTCCTGGGGCAGCAGTGACAGCTGGTTCACAGTGGCCAGAGAGGACAGGGCCTGGGGGTGAGGGAGTCAAAGAAGTAGGTGGTTGACTTGGAGGGCAGTGGTGTTCTGTAGGGCAGGGGTGAGGCTTGCAGGGTGCGCAGGGGGACGCCTGTGCTCTGGTTGTGCCCTGAAGGTTTTCACTGAAACGTGGGAACCTGGGATGTCGCAGTTGGGTTTCTATCCAAGTGAGCCATTCTGCTGCTATGCACAGGGCCTTGAAGGAGCAGGTGCAGAGGGGGATGGGTCGGGGAGGGGGCGTGGCTCTGGAGGAGCTGTCCCAGCTTGGTCAGTGTCCTAGGCTAGGCCTGGTGTAGCTTAGAACTCGGCCTTGTCCACAGAGGGTGGAGGGAAGGCTTTGAGAGCTTTACCATGTGATCTGACCCTTGGAAGGGCTGAGGGGATCCCCCTACTGGGCCTTGGAGGCGGGCACACACTGATTCCCTATTATACATGACTTCAATGTTGGGCAGACCCAGGGTGAGCCCTCCCTCCCTCCCAACCTCCCTGCCCGTCTGTCCTTCTGCCCTCTCCCACTTCCCCTGCCTCCCTGCTCCCCTCCCTGCCCCCTCTTCCCTAGGGACCTCCTATCTTCCCCTAACCCTCTTCCTTCCCTTTTATTTCCTCCTCCCTTCCCTCCTCCTTCCCCTCTTCCTTCCTTCTGCTGTCAGGAGGGAACTAGGGTGTCACACATTCTAGGGAGGCTTTTACCCTGAGTAATGCCCTTGGTACTCTTTCTCCTTCCACTAGGAGCCGGGCCCCTTTGAGCTGAATTTACTCTGTGACCCAGGCAGGCTTTGAACTCACCATCCTCCCAGGTCAGCTTCCTGAGTACCTGGGACACAGGTCCAGGCTCCTGGGCTAGGCTTTCCAGGAAAATGGACTTCCTGTTTGAACCTGGATGCTCTGCAGAGCTGGGCTGGTGTGCTGGGCCTGGCGCTGACTGAAGCAGGTGCCTGAGCAGCCTGTAGACTGCCATATCTTCACACAGCTTCACTCTGGCAACCTCAGTAGGGCAATCATTTGAAATTACATCTGAATGCCCAGGTCTCCCGGGGGCTTGAGTGGTTTCTTTTCATTTCGCTGCATTTTGTTTCTAATCTTAGTGTTGTGTGTGTGTGTGTGTGTGTGTGTGTGTGTGTGTGTGTGTAGGTGTGTAGGGAACAGAACCATGTTAAAGATGTGGCACTCCTATACCATATTTAATTTTCTTCTGCATACAGCGTGCCAGGATGGTAATCTGAAGACTGAGAAGGGAGAGGGACGGGAGAGACTTTGGTTTAGCATTACACTGTGGTCCTGGGAAAGGCAACCGTCTCCCTGAGTCCCAGTTTTCCCATCCATGACCAGACTAGATCTCTAAGGGCCCTTGCTCATTGTTTGTAGGGTCTCAGGTGCACTAGAAGGTTCAGAAGGTGGCTAGGGACAGGTCTTACACATGTGACTTGGGGCCAGATGGCCTTGTTAGGTTCATAGTCCAAGGCTTCTTGGCTGGGTTGTTCTGCAAACTGTTTAGCTTCCAGCTTTGGGGGAATCAGAGAGTAGGGACCATGCAGGTGCTTTAGGTTCTGGAGAGAGCGCTTGGGGTGTGGTGGCAGCCCTGCATCTGGGAGCAGAACTGGGTCACAGTCTCTTCCCAGCTGTTAGCCTCCATTCATAAAGACTTGGTAGATGGTGCACAGAGAAGGCTCCAGAGAAGGAAGGGAAGGTTGGGGCTCTGCACCCCAGCTCTCAAGGCTCTACTCTTCTGGTCTTCATATTCCCAGGCCCCAGAGCCTCTCCCACTGACAGCTCTCCAGAGAGGGTCTGGGTGTGACAGGCCCTACCCACGCCCACACTCACAGGAGCATCAGAGGCTTGGGCCAGGGGTCTGTATGCAACCTGGCGGCCTCCCTTCCTCTCATTTCTGGTCTGATCTCTCAACCCCGTCTTGGCAGCTACCCATCACTGATGCCTATCTCCTTCTGAGCATGGCCTGGGAAGCCTTGGATTGTGTCCTAAACCTAATCTCCATCAACCCTGCAAACCACCCCAGGGCTGGGATCCCCAAGCCAGTGGTTCTCAACCTTCCTAACGCTGTGACCCCTTAATGCAGTTCTCATGTTATGGTGATCCCCATCCCCGCAACCATAAAACCATTTTTTGTTGCTGGTTCATGTTTTGCTACTGTTATGAACTGTAATGTAAATATCTGTGTTTTCTGATGGTCTTAGGTGACCCCTGGGAAAAGGTCCTTCAGCCCTCCCAAAAGGGGTCATGACCCATAGGTTGAGAACAGCTTTCCCAATCTCTCTGGATATGGTGGTCTTGTTCTTTGGGATGGGGGACAAGACCCTACATCGCAGCTGGGAAGTTGTGGCCTTCAGCTGGCTTCCCTGGATGGCATCGGCATCTCTCACAGTGAGTGGCTTAGAGGAAGGACTCCTGACTTGGCCACTGTGGCCGTGACTAATTAGGGGCCTGTGACAGGGTCTTAAAGACGGCTGTGGTTCTGGAAACTTTGAGAGCAGTGGGTCCACGGTGGTGAAGACCTCACTCTGGAAGCCGAGCACCGAGCAGGCTAGAGGTGGCTCGGCCCCTCGCCGTAGTGTTCAAAGGAAGGACGGTGACTAGAAATGGCCACCATTTCTCCAGGGCCTGGTATATCCTAGGCCTCATATGTATTCTTTCTAGGCTCCCCAGCAACTCCAGATGACTGGGATTCTGTCCCTATTTCTAGACATGTCAACAGGTTCAGTGTCACACAGTGAGTTGATGGCTGGGTTAGGTTGTGCCTAGGGTGCTTCTAGCAGACTGGAGGAGATGGTTCCCGGGGGTGGGGGTGGGCTTTCAGCCCACAGTGGCTCCTGAGCTCCAGGAGCGCTGACAAACACGGCCCTAAATAAACCTCTGCTTAGCATCAGCTGGAATCACGGCTGTGCCGTTGGTGCCTCTCCTGAATGTCACTTTACCCCAAGTGGGCTTTCAGTGTTCAGTGGCCACAGCCGCTCTGGTTTGTGACACGAACAATGGTGGTGGCAGATGGGGAGCCTCGACTCCATTTTCTTTTAACGCTCCCAGTGGCACGCAAGAAAGGCGCCATCTGGAAGGAGAAGGTCAGATTGTTAAAAATATATATGGTAATAAATCGCCAAGGCCTGATGGGCTGTGGGTGTGTAGGGGAAAGGAGGGAGGGAGGAGCTGGGGTGAGGTGTGGGGGTGGGGGCCATGCGTTCACCTGTCTGGCTGTCGGGTGGGTGAGTGCCACGGATCTCCTGCCCAGCAGGGGAGGGTCTGGTTGTGAGTTCCCCGAGGGTGGAGACAGCATCTCCAATTGTGTCCTGTTTATTTACCATTGGGCCTTAACTGAGAGGCGGCAGGGCAGCCCGTTTCCCACAGTGGCCTGGGCAAGCTGTGTGACATGCCCCGTGGCATAGATTCTTCATTTCAGCTTCCCCAACATAGAGGGGATGGGGGTCCTCAGAGGGAGGATGCAAGGATGGAGAGTATTTTGGTGTGTATTGTCCCGAAGTCGTCCTATGTCTGGTGGGTCTCTCACACTCTGGCTTTTCCACTCCCTCTTTCCGTGGCAAGGCTAGGTTTTGTGGGGCAGTTTCCAGGGTCTGGAGAGTTAAGGGCCTCTTCTGGGCCCATTAGGAAACACAGTCAATGCTGAGCCCTTCAGGCTGGGGAGGGACCCTCAGGGTAACCAGCCAGCCTTTGTGTGTTAAAGGAAGCGTCCAGATTTTTAAGGCATGGCCACCCCTGTGTTTTACTCCAACTCCTCTGGCCCAGCTGGGCTTTGGACTGGGCCACTCTCGGGGGTGGTTCCTCCTTGCACACGTCAGCCTGACATAGTTTCTTTCACAAAAGGGAGTCATATTGACGGGATATGTTAGACACCCATGCAAAATCAGGCTCCAGGAGAAAGGTTATGTTCAGGCTGCCCCTGGTTATTGGCGTGTGGTCCGTAGAAAGGCTGGTTCTGTGTGCGTGGTTGTGTAGGAAGGGCGTGGAGGGAAAGTTTTGGCCCTCATCGGTATTGATGTTACAGAGAACCTCCTGCCCCCACATGCATACACTCGCACACGTGGGCGCACACACAGGCTCACACGCAGTTGCACACACAGGAATAGAGAAGTCCGTGGAAGAGCAGAGCTAACCCTGCTCTTTCAGTTACAATGGATCGTGCCTCCTGTATTCATCTTGAGTTGAAAACGTCTGAAGGGGAAGCTGCATTTAACCTCTGACCTCCCACACATCGCAGTTTAGCACAGTTGACCTTCGACACGGTCAGGTCATTTCCATTAGCCCTGGGTTGGGCAGAAACACAGGAAACAAAGCCCATTTCTTTAATCAAGTGTGTGTGCCTCGTGTATATAAATAGGTGAGATGCAGCTTGGCTGTGGAACGCTTGTTCTAGCACGCCTGATGGACACACACACACACACTGATGGGTGTTGGGAAATGTGATAAGGTCCCAAAAGGCAACATCCAGAGAGATGGTGCCTCCTAGCGTCCATCCAGGGAAAGATCAAAGCTCCGAATCGCAGACTGGTCTCTGCTTTCCCACCCTCGCGAAGTGGACGGTCGTAACTTGAGTTGTTCCAGCCTGGAGACAGTTGCAGCGGTAAAGGGATGTGACAGCTGTGACAGAGGCTGGGACTCTGTTGAGAAGGAAGGGTGGAGGCAGAGCTAGTGAGGTCGAGGGGCGATGCTCCACTCCAAGGGACATCCAGAGCTGCGTGCTGAAATTGCTGACCACCGTGGAGCCTGGGGACCGGGAGACAAGGCTGGGAGGGAGGGACGATCCTTGGGCTCTTCCCGTAGAGTCTGGGCCTGCCTCCAAGCAGACCAGGACTCCTTTGGCGTTTTCAAACAGAGAGCAGTGGGGTGCACTGTGGAGCTGCTATGGGCTGGCCTTGGAGGCTAGGTGGGGGGCAGCTCACGCATCCAAAGCAGGGGCAGCATGGGCCTGGTCCTTGATTCCTGTTTGCCACCAAGGAGGGGTGTGGGACTTAGGGAGGCTGCTGTCCCAACAGCTCAGTTGTCATGATCCCAGAGCCATAGGTGCCCTCACATGGGCAGCTCTAGGGGCAGAGCTAGCATTGCTGGGTCAATAGGCCTCAGTGACAGCAGCACTGGGACTCTAGTTCTTGCAGGTTTAGTACAAAGAGCACAGCTATAGAACATAGGAGAGCCAAGTCCCCATGTGGGTGCTGCTGCCTGCCACGTTCAAGACCTAGATTTGCTTCTCAGTCCCTGTGTGCCAGTGTTACCTATAGGGCGGTGACCACTGTATCAACATTTTGTTGCCATGAACACTGGCCAGGTGGACCCATAGCCCATCGTATTAGTGCCTTTTCTCATCGCTTTGACACAGACAAGGAAGAAAGGAAGGTTCCCCCCCCCCCCGACTTATTTTCCTTCTCATAGTTTGAGGGATGCATACATTCAATCATGGAAGGGAGGGAAGGGATGGCAGCAAGCGGGAGCCTGAGGCAGCCGGTCGTGTGGCATTCACAGTTGCATCCACGGTGGGGTAGGCACGGTGGCATGAGTGGGAGGTGACCGGTTACATGACATCCGCTGTCACATCCATGGTGGGGTAGGCACACAGCAGGAGCCTGAGGCGGCCACTTACCTTAATCCCCAGTCAGGAAGCAGAGAGAGACGGATGCTGGTGCTCAGCTCACTTCCTCCATTTTATTCAGTCCGGGACCCCAGCCCAGGGAGTAGTGCCGCCCACATTCAACATGGGTCTTCCCACCTCAGCTAAGACAGAAACTCTCTCACAGCCGTACCCAAGGGGTGGTCTCCATGGTGAATCTAGGAGCCTGCTAAGTTGGCATTCAGCGTCAACCATCACACCTTGGTACTCACCGACATGAGCATGCATACCACGTGGGGGGTGTCCCTGTCACACTGGGTGACTGTCCCAGGCTTGTGTAGAAGAGAGAAAAGCTCCTTAGTCACAGAATTCCTTGGGTGGACCTTAGTTTGTTCACCCCCCCGCCCCCCCGCTTCCTCTCACTCATGTGTGAGTTCAGATGAGCGTGAAGGCCCCGCGGGAAATGAGTCCTCAGAGGGGGCTGGCGTAGCCAGAGTGGTCAGAAAGGGCTCCTCAGAGGGGGCTACCCGTGAGGAGAGCCCCGGCTGCCCTCCTCACCATCAAGTGCAAAAACTGGGATAGATTTGCCTCCCATTTCTTTAATGTTAAGCCCAAGGCATCTGACTCAGTTCTGGTAAACAAGGGACTTTTCATGTCTTGTTCCAACACAGCGTGGAGCCGTGGTTATCAACCCCACTCTCCCGCATAGACAGGCCGCACATGGTTCAGGCCTGGACCTCACTATGTAGCTGAGGATGACGTTGAATGTTTGATCCTCCTGCCTCTATTTCTGAGGACTGGACTGTATGTGTGTGGCCACCGCACCTGGTTCATTCCTTACTGGGGATGGAACCTGGGGCCTCTTGCATGCTGGGTGAATACTCCACCAACTGAGCCACATCTAAAGCCTCACAGTCTCTCTCTCTTTCTCTCTTCTTTCCTTTCTTTTATGTGTGATGCATGTGTATATATGACTGAACTCATCTGTGTAGGCACATGTGAAGGCCTGAAGTTGAGATTGTATGTCTTTCCTCTGTCGCTCTTCACCTTGACTCTTGAACCAAGATCTCTATTTGAATTTGGATCACAATTATTTATTTATTTGTTTATTTATTCATTATTTCTTTCATTCATTCATTCATTCATTCATTCATTTGTTGGCTAGACTCGATGGTCATGGAGCCCCTAAGATCTATCTGTCTGTCTGTCTCTACCCGCTGTCCTGGGGTTTCGGGTACTCACTTCCATACCCAGCTTTTCCATGGGTGCCAGGGGTCTGAGCTCAGGTCCCCATGCTTGCCCAGCAAGTCCTTCATATACTGACCATCTCCCCTGCCCACCAGCAGAGGAATTGAGGCTCAAGGGGTTGGGGTGTCCTCGCAGGTTGCTCAAAAGTAGAGTCAGGCTGGGATTCTGTTCTTGGGTGTTCCAGATCCTTGCCTGTGGACCAGAGCCAACTCCATAGACTGAGACCAACAGGCATGTGGGGTGGGGCACTGATCAGGGCAATGAGGTCACCTTGGGACCCGGCCTGCTGTGGTAACGCTCAGGGTTGAGGGTCAGTTCCTGCCTGCTGGGGCTCACACTCACTAGCTCTGCCCACCCCCTTCCTCTCCCTGCAGGGGAGGAGAACCAGCCAGGATGGCTGTGTCCTGATGAGGACAGGAAAAGCAAAGCCCCATTCTGGTGCCCCATCCTGGCCTGCTGCGTCCCCGCCTTCTCCTCCCGGGCCCTCAGCCTGCAGGTGAGTGGACCTGGCACATGGTAACTGTGGTGGCCCTGCCTAGCCTGGGAGAACCAGTGCCCAGGTAGCGTCCGCTGCAGCTGGAGAGGTCCAGCATCTCAGTCCAGCTGAGTGACCCAGGGGGCTAAGCCTTTTTTTGCTGTTTAGTGAGTCAGCGTTCCCACCAGGAGAAAGGGTGTTTATGAATGACCCACACGGGTCATGGGGTGGAAAATTCCATTATTTTATGATAGCGAATGCCAGCAACCTCATCTGTTGAAGGCCTGACTCGGGACTGTGCCCGAGATGACTTTGGTGGTGACCTGGGATGCTCCGTGGTCATCACGCCCTCTCACTTGCCCACGACACTCTCTTGTGTTTAGCTGCACTTCTTGTGATAGTGACTAGGACAGAATTTCACAGGAGATAGAAGCCCAGACAGGTCTTCCAGAATGACAGTCAATAGAGGTGTCGGTCCGACATGATGACAGTCTCCGTGGTATTAACCACCAGGAAGCTCGCCCCACCCCATCCGTCACTTGTCCCTTATGTCCTGGCAGAGCCCACCCCTCCATCTGGAGCATCTCCCAAGCAGCTGAGGACCCTGAGCTCTGGGACGGGCGAGCGAGCGTGGGACCCAGCACAGATAAATAGTCGCAGGAGCCGTGCGGGCTGGGCTGTAGACTGGGGCTCTAAGAGCTGAAAGAGCACCCATGCGATGTAAGTTCATCGTTCATTCCTTTATTCATCTGTCCGTTCGCAGGTCATCTCTGTATGCTAGAGCTGGGAGTGCACTGGTGACCAGGACGTACGAGGTTCCCACCTCATACAGCCTTCCGTCTAGGGGACAAAGACAGGCAGGACCTCAGCACCCAGGAGGGAGTCTAAGGGAACTAGAGAACATAGAGCAGAGATACAGCAGGCGTGGAAGTGGGGACCGCACGGTTGTGGGTGCAGAGAGGGCCCCTTGGAGGAGGTGGCATTAAACAGAAAGCCACATAGCAAGAAGGACAGAGACCCCAGAGGGCTTAGGGGATCCATATTCTAAGTAGTCAGATCAGTATGGAGCAGGCCAATCAAAAGGGGCCGGCAGGATGGAGCTTGGATTAGTTGTCTCTTAAAGGATCCATCTTCTAGACCTGTTACAGTGACCATTAAGTTTCAATGTGAGTTCTGGAGGGGACCTTGAGACTATTGCTAAGGGTGATGAGGTCTGTCTCTGGGCGAGGGAGACCATGGCAGCCTTGGAGGGTTTTGTTCTGGGAGCCCTGATGGATCCAGGAAATGGTGGCATCTGGATCTCGATTTGAGTTCTTGGAGGTGGGGCTATGTGGACAGAAGAAGAGGCTGAAAGCTCAGAGTGGGGGGTGAGGGGAGGAGATGTGGGGGACAGGGCGGGTGTTTGTGCCAGAGGTGGGAGTCAGGTGGGGACCTGGAGACCAGGACCAAGGAAAAGTAAGAAAGGCTCTCACTCCTGCTACAGAGTGAGGCTGCACCCAGTCTCTGATCAGGATAAAGAATGAAGCCATGTACTACTTAAAGTTTATTTGTCTTTTGGAGATTTATTCATTTTTATTTTATATATATGGGTTTTTTGCTGGCATATATGTGTGTGCACCACATGTATGCAATACCCACAGAGACCAAAAGAGGGCATCAGTTGCCCCGGAACTGAAGTTACAGAGGTTTGTGAGCTGCCAAGTGGGTGCTGGGAATTGAACCTAGGCCTCTGGAAGAGTAGCCAGTGCTCTGAACTGCTGAGCCATCTCTGTAGTCTCCCATGTAATACTTTTATTTTATTTTTTTGAGACAGTTTTTCTCTGTGTAGCTCTGACTGTCCTGGAACTCACTTTGTAGACCAGGCTGGCCCTGAACTTAGAGATCTGCCTGCCTCCTGAGTGATGGGATTAAAGGCCTGTGCCACCACTACTCAGCTTTCCTGTGTATTACTTTAAAAAGAAATTATCCTTCAGAGTATGGCCTGAACGTGCCTTGTATTTTAGGGAAATAATGAAGGACTGGGAGTTACCGTGGGCTTCGGTGTGGAAGACAGAATCCGTGGAGAGGGGTCTGTCCTTGTTCCTTACACAAGGCTAGCCCTGGAGTGTAGCTTCTGCAGTGGGGTCTGGCGTCTTCTCTCTCCCCTAGGGTCTTAGGATTTCCTGATACACAGGCCACACCCGAGTAAGCCCTCACAGGTCAGACACTGATGGAGTCTTTAAGTAGGCTTGTTTCCGGAAAGAACTGATACCTGATGGGAACTATCTGCCATCTTGAACCTGGGAGGATGAGCGAGGGCCTGTGTATCTCTTCACTTGGAGCTGTTAGGGTTCCAGAACATGTGGGTGGGCAGAGTGCTCAGCCCATGCTTGGTGTTCCCGCGGAGCCCCCATGTCAGCTGAGAGAGCCCTACATAAATCTATGTGGGTAACGGGCCCAGAGGAAGGGGATCCTGGGGGACCCGCCAGAGCCTGTCTGGCCGTATTCTCTGGGCTCGTCTAGTTCTATTTTGCCCGCCTCCTACCTAACTCAGACAGCTGTGCCCCATCAGCTTGGTGCTGGCAGCCGTATGAATCAGAGCGGAGGCTGCCAGCCTTGCCCAATTACCGTGGGACCAGATGTGCATGTGGACAGGTGCCCAGGCTCCTCTCCGCTCACGCAGGCTCTCAGGTGGCCACATGAGTCGGCAGCCAGCCTGTTTCTCCCCTGGGAAGGCTAGAGCTGGGCAACGGAATTGTTGGCCCTGCCTCTTTCCTGGGCAGACAAGACCCTGGCCTTTAGTTGTTAAGGGAAGTGTGTGTTGGATTCCATCCTTGCTGGGGGTTGAGGAGCAATGCTCTTCTTGGAGGTGATAGCCAGCTGTGCCCATGCTGGGCCATGCCAGTCCGCTGGTTGGCAGGGGAACTCGCTGTGGGAGAATGTTAGAGGAGGCTGCTTGGGTGTTTCCCTGCTCTCGTTGTGCCCAGCCTGGAATGCCCCAGTCATGTGATACTAGAAAGCTGTTGTAGCTCCTACTATACAGCCCCATCTTCAGCAGCAACTGGAGAGGCCATGGAGGCCCCTGGCTGGGTCACAGTGAGGATTAAGGATCTTGAGAGATGGCCTAGTGGTGAATGCTTACCATGGAGACATGAATTCGATCCCTAGCATTCCTGTAAAAAAGATGAGTGCGTAGTGTGGGCTAGCATGGGGAGGCAGAGATGGGTGGGGCTCCAGGCACTGTGAGATACCCTGTCTCAAAAAATCAGGTGGAAGGTGGTTGAGGACCAGTGTTGACCTCTGATCCTTATGCACACGTGCACACAATGCACATGCATGTATGTGCACTGTGACACATTTGTGTCCGATGCACTCAGGCCTCAAGGAACAGAAGTAAACATCTCAGGACATTTTTACCCCAGGAAAGGCCTCTGGCTAACTGCCTCACGAGGAGGGTGTCGGGCAACTTTTGGCCCTTCTGCCCATGACCGTTAGGAATCTTGGCAAATGTTTCAGCAGAGGAGGACCGGCAGGTTCTTCACCAGCAGAGGGCAGCAGCTGCCTGGGAAATGTCAAGTGTCTCTCTCTGACTCTTGCGGCAGCACCTCCCAGCTGTCTCCCCCGCCCCTCCTCCCGCCCTTATAACGCTGTACTGTCCAGAGAGACAGGTTGTCCGGGTTGGCACCTGAAGCAGAGCTCTGAGGGGCCACCTAGTCAGGAGCTGGAAGCAACCGATGCAGGAGGCAGTGTAAGCCGTGAGCAGCTCTCACTGGCAACTGGCTGCCAGTCAAGTCCCAGTTTCCGTGTTTTCCTTACTGGACCCACCCAGCCCCCTGTCCCAGGGCGTCCTTCTGTAGAGGGGTACTGATGCAGTACCTGGTTTCCACCTCCTCACAGCTCTCTGGAGGCATGCGGGAGGCCATTGGGGTGCAGGAGCAAGCGGGACCATACCACTTACTTCCTCTGTGACCTAGCTCTGGCCCTTGCCCTCTGTGGGCTTCGTCTTCTCTATCTACAAAATAAAGTGCTTGGATGAAGGTGGAGGGCTTAGTGGTCATCAACAAGCCTTATCTAGGAGCTGCCTGGTTCTAGAGACTATGGGCGGATATAGGCATCAGTCAGGCCTTCTCTGCACAGAAAGTTCTAGAAGAGTGATGATCAAATACAAAGCACGGGAAACTATGTATGTGGCATGTGTCACTTTCTTGGCCCCCATCCTCAGGTATTCTCATGGGGGAGCGATGGGTTCAGAAGTCTGTCAAATAAATATTGGCGTTTTGGCAGCTCATTGATTGACCTACGTTTACTGTTTCTGTCTCTACAGCTCGGGGGTCTGGTCCACAGTCCTGTCAACTGTCCCCTGCTGGGCTTCTCAGCTGTCAGCACTTCCCTTCCACAGGGCTACCTCTGGGTAAGTAGTCCTTTGCCTAGCTAGGACAGGGTGGCCGTGTGTCCTCACAATGGGGACAGAAAGGGTGACAAGAAGGGGTCTAAGAAAGCCACCCACCTGTCTAGCAGCTCTGTCAAAGGCTTCCTAGGAACTTCGGGGCTTGGTGGTGGGGTTGGTGGTGGAACCTTATCCAGGGTAACCACATCCGGGGCCAGGGAGGTGTTGGCAAGGGCCCAGACTTCTCGGAGAGAGATAAGAGTAAGCTATGCAGAGGTCCAGATTACAGGAGGCCCAGGTCAGAAGAGGCTCAGGTCATAGAAGGGCTGGGTCTCCGGCCCCACCCAGAGCTTAGGCATCAGCACTGGCTCTTCCTCATCTCAATGGAGCTTCTAGCCACCTTCTCTGCTTCCAGGGTTCTCAGCAAAGCTCTGTCTTTTTAAAAATGAGGACCCCCATGCTCCTTGGGTTGCTGTTTGTGTCCTATATGCAGGATTCTGGCTTCCCTGCCCCTCGCCACCCTCTAGCACATGCTCCTGCCTGTCCCTGGGAATTCGTGCAGCAGAACCTTGGCTTACCTTTTAGACTGCAGTACAAATGTTGATATTTTCCTTCACTGTTTCCCAATTATCATCTAGCACCTGGTGAATCTATTCATCTATGCATGAATGCATCTACTTACCCTGTGGATCCTTCATCTGTTCATTAATCCATCCATTTGTGCATCCGTCTGTCCGTCTGTCGTCTGTACATCATTCCATCCATCCATCCAGTCATCCATCCATCCATCCATCCATCCAGTCATCCATCCATCCAGTCATCCATCCAATCATCCATCTAACCTTCCACCCTTCCACACACCCACCAACGCAACCACCATTTATCCAATTGCTCACTCATGCATACATGCGTGCGTCTGTCCATTCCCTTGGCAGGTATACACATGAGGTGCATACCATGAGCTAGATACAAAAGTAACACAGTGAATGGGACAGAGGGCTGTTTTAAGGAGACAGAATAGCTCATGAGCTCTTATTTGGGAGACCTCTATAGAGGAGAAACTGGAAAACCGACTGGTTATTGCATCTACTTGAACCATTTCTTGATTTCCTTTGGCCCCTGAAGCTAATTTGTGTCCTTATAGTTGGGAACTAATGACCTTTGTGAGATCAGGTTGTGTGTGGGATGGACAGAGGACGCACCTTCCCGTTACTATCCCCAGTCACAGTGTGTCTGTGTACGCATGTGTCTGTGTGTATCTGCGCGTTTGTCCGTGTATCTGTGTCAGGGTGCGGTCCCCGGGAAGGTGTGCCCTAGTCACTGGCTTGACAGCCTCTCCGGGCCTCTGCTTCTAGGTTGGAGGTGGGCAGGAGGGTGCTGGTGGCCAGGTGGAGATCTTCTCCCTGAACCGGCCTTCGCCACGCACTGTCAAGTCCTTCCCCCTGGCAGCCCCCGTGCTCTGTATAGAGTACATTCCGGATCCGGAGGAGGAGGCTGAGGGTACAGAGGAGAGCCGGGTGGCTGCTGACCCCTCAGCTGCAGCGCATCCCACCGTCTGCCTCGGCTTACAGGATGGCAGGTGAGGGGCAGGAGGACGGGTCGGGATGGCTTGTCCTGCCAGGCAGGTAGCTGCAGGTAGTCCCTCCAGCTCTTCGGGTCACTAAGCAAAGCACTCTTTCCCAGCCTGGTGTCCCCAGGGAGATGGGAACCGGAGACAGCCATTGTGGCATATAAGTGTCAGGAGTAGCTTATGTCATAGCTGACAGCTCTGGCACCACTTCCTGGCTGTGCATCCTTAGACACATCGTGTCAAGCCAGGTTCTGGTCTGGTGAAGCTCAGGAGGACAGCATGTTGAGTGACTGAGTCTCAGGTTCCTATGGTCAGAGAGGCTTAGTGCTCCCCACCCCCATGCAGGGCCATGTGTGTACAGGAGGGCCTAATGGGGGTAGAAAGTACGAAAGAGAATCCCCCTGCATCTCTGCTCTTCACCTTGTCCTGTAGAAGGACGGCGTGTGTCTCCGAAGTACCTACTATGTGCCTCAAATATGCTGAGGGGGTTCTCTCACAGTGACCTTGCAGCCTGGGGGGGTTATCTTCATTCCCATTTCCCACACAGGGGGGAGCCGAAACTAGCAGCATTCTGAGAGGTGGTGAGGAGCCATGCTTACCCATGCCCCATAGTCTGGGTTGGGACTGTAGCCTTGGGCCCCGTCTGGGGGTTGGGACTGTAGCCTTGGGCCCCGTCTGGGGGTTGGGACTGTAGCCTTGGGCCCCATCTGGGCCTGGGCTTAGGAGAGATCTGGTGAACACCTTTTATTTTAGTTTTGAGCCAAGATACATTTCATGTAATATAATTTTAGGGGTCTGGAAGTGTGGCTTGGTGGGTGAACGCTTGCATAGCCTACACAAGGTCCAAGCTCCATCCCTAGATCTTCAGACTGGGTGTGGTGTTTCATGTCTGTGATCCTGGCAACTGAGAGGTGGTGGCAAGAGGATCAGAAGTTTAAGGCCATCCTTGGTTACATAGCAAGATGGAGACTAGCCTGGATCACACTGAGATTCAAAAAGCAGAACAAACAATACGAAGCAGAATCACCGTTCTAGCTATTTTAAGGAGCACAACTTGGTGGCTTCTGGCAGCCGCTACCGAGCTCCAGAATATTCTCATTTCTCCCCAGAGAAGCTTTTACCCATCTCATCCCCTCCTCAAAAACCGCTGATCACCCTCAGCCTCTGAGGGAATGCCCTCAGGCATGCCCTATACATGGCATCTAGTGCCTCATAGCCTCTGCTCCGGCTTCTCTTTACCCTGTGCATTCTTACACAGCCCCGGGGTGTTGTCAGGCTTTGTTCCCCGATGGCCCTCAAGTGGGCACCCCTGATCATTTGAGGAAGAGAGCTGAAGGTCAGCACTTCGGTCAGCAGCTAGGAGCTGGCGGTTGGATTTGAACTCAGGTCTGAGTGGCACTGGAACTCGGTACCTTTCTCATTGTATTCTGGAGCCAGAGTCCTATCTGGTGGCAGAAGCCAGGGTTTCTGTAGGAGGGAGGAACAAGGCTGGGCAAGTGAGGCCCATGCACGGGTAGGTGCCTGTGAGTCTCACTGATAGCATCTCTCCCTTCAGCATCCTGCTCTATGGCAGCGTGGACACTGGGACCCAGTGCCTGGCAACCTGCAAGAGTCCAGGCCCGCAGCCGGTGCTCTGTTTGCGGCACAGCCCCTTCTATCTGCTTGCTGGCCTACAGGACGGGACCCTCGCTGCCTATCCTCGGACCAGTGGTGAGGACTGGTGGGTGGGTGGGCTTGGGGGGGGGCATCAGGGCACCAAACTGGGCCTGGATCCTAAGCTGAGAGATTGAACAACACAGGCTGGGGAGGCAGTGTCAGAATGGGCTACTCAGGATGGGGGGGTTCTGAGACCTGACCTTCACTGGGGTCTACTGCTGGGTTCCCACACATTTGAGTCCCTGTAGAAGGAGAGCATCTATTTCTCTGCCAGCAGACAAGTGCTGGGGAACAGTTCCCCATGGGCTGAGAGACCGAGGGTGGTCTTGGAAAGACCTGGATTCTTGTTCAGGCTCTGCACTGTGACAGCCGTGTCCCTAGTAAGTGGCTCTTTTTTTTGTGCCTTGGGCTCTTTTGTAAAGTGAGAGTCGGGTGGTGCCCACCCCTCTTGGTTCTCGCGAACAAAATGACTCAGCATAGACTGGGCACAGGCCAGGATGGGTGCTGAGAAGGGGAGGCACCTTTGGGTTGTCACCGTCAGAGCTGTCGCTGGCATTGTCACGGAGCCTGAAATGGGAGGACGGCAGGGCTATGCTGCAGCCAGATGCACTGCACCCCAGCACTCCAGGAACGGTGTCAAGGATGTGATATACCCTCATCATCTTAAGCCTGGCTGCTACCCTGGGGAGTCACCTCTGTTCCAGGCGCTAGGACACTGAGCCTGGGGGAGGGGGGATCACAACTCCCTCATAGCCTTGTGAGAACTGTGCAAGGTCCCTGAGCCTTGCTCAGCCCCTAGTCTGGTGGTAAGGACCCAGTGGCAAGCGTGGTGGCCCCAAGACTCTACAGCAGTGTCTCCCCTCCCCCCAGGCACCCAGCTCAGCTTAGATCCAATGGCTGCGTCATCCTTGCAGCCTGTTGCAGGGTTATAAACGGATATTTGCAGTGAGGGTTTTTTTCCCCTACTTGGCACTATGTTGGTATTTTTAATTAGCTTTTGATAAGGCATTTATAGTTTTTAATTAAAGGGGGAAGAAGGGAAAAAAATCCCTTACCATCAGACAGAACAGAGCGTGTGTATGAATGTAAATCCTGGCTCAGATGTGCTGGGGTAGACAAGAGGGTCTGAAGGGACCGCCCACCCTCCTGTGTGCCCTAGACACCACACGACTCTAGCTTCAACCAGCCCTGCCTACCTGTGTGGGTGCTTAGGTGGGCGTGGCAGGGCTGCTGTAGGGCTCAAACAGCACAAGTTCAAGATCAAGACTCTTGAGAAGGGTCCATCCTAGACTTCTCTGGCTCTCAGTGGCATCTTGACTTGGGATGACATCACTTGTGTCCTCACGGGCCTCATGAGGATGTCTCCCTGTTCATGCGCCCTTGTGTCCCAATCTCCCCTTATAAGGACGCCTGTCACCCTGGGTTAGGGCTCCACCAATCCCGAGCCACTAATTACATCTGGAGGAATGTTGTCTCTAAGAAAGAGTCCATTCTGAGGCATTGGTGCAGGGTTAGGGCTTCAGGGGAGTCCCTGATGAAGTTTTGGGTTTAACAACTGGCTTTCAGCTTAGGGTTAGAGCCTGCTAGCTAGTCAGAATGGAGATGCCCTGAGGGTGTTACACAACCTCCCTTTCCTTTGAGGGTCTCTTCCCTGCAAATGTTTGCTTCCTCAATATGTAAGAACACCTACTGTGTTCCACAGAGATGCTTGTCAACCAAACAGACATGCCTCCCGCCCTTGTGAGGTTTAAAGCCCCCAGAGGGAGGTCAGAATAGCCAATTCAACAAGCAGGAAGCTGGGGGCTCCTGATGTAAGACTGGGATCACCGTTTGAGCCTGACTACCTAGTAGGGTGAACTGGGTGCCTGGGGTCCACCCCAAGAGGCAGGCCCTGAAGCTGAGACAGAGAGAGGTGGCCAGACAAGTTTCAAGTTGAGGGAAAAGTGGAGCAGAGGGACCAGTGTGTGTGTGTGAAGGCCAGAGGCACGGGTATGCCTAGCATCATGGGGGCCCCAGAGAGGAGGATGCAGAACTAGCTAATAGCAAGAGGGTAAGTGGCACTGGGCAAAGTCTGGGGACAGACAGCTGCTCATGAGGACCTTGTCATAGCTCACTGGGAAGTAGAGAGATGCAATACAGAGTCTAGACACTGGCCCGTTGGACAGGAGGGCAGGTGCACCCGGCATTGCACCCTTTCTAGAATCTTCTTCTCCTGGTATCTGTGGCTGTAGCTGTCATGGCTTCTGAGAGGGCTTCCCTTCCCCCGGTCCCCAGCTACCCTGTGCTTCCTCAAAGAGGTGATCCCTGGCCTGAAACCAGTCTCTTAGAACCACAGCACCACATGGTTTAAAATAGGTCCCAGAGTCCCTTTGCCTCAGGAGCAGAGGCGTTTCTCTGTGCTGTCCCTGGGCCAGCCTCAAGGTACCCTTCCAGAACCTCTCCGGGGTGCCCCTGATGGCGAGGAGTGTCTGGGATGCGGACTGCCCAGGCTTCACTGCTGTATCCTGGAGCTGGTGCTGGATGAGATGTGTATAGCAAAATGCAGCCTCCTTACCTGTGAAATGGGGGTGCAGACAGCTGTTCTGACAGGCTGTGTGTGCAGGTTACATGTGCAGATTTCCCCAGGGCCTACAGTGGAGCCCCCCACCTCCGCCCAGGGTGGGCCCCTCTCAGCCTCAGTGGCTTTAACTCTGCGTCCTGCCTCCTGGCACTAGCCAGATCCGTGGACCCCTGTGGGAGACCAGCGGGCTGTGTCACCTGAGGCTAGGGGAGGGGTGGAGAGATGCTGGCATCCTGAAGGTGCCTTTGCTGAGACAGGCCTGCCTCGCTGCTGACCGGCTGTGCACTCGGAGCCAGCCTAGATGAATGGGCTGTCACGCAGGGGCGGGGGCGGGCCCCGCGAGTGCAGGTTCTGGACCATGTGCTTGCTAACAACTACCCAAGGGTTGGGAAGCGGGGATGGTTGGAGGGGATGCCCCTCAAGCCCTGCCCAGCCTCGGAAATTACCTTTGTAGTCTGTGAAGCCAGTGAAGTGGGGGCTGGAAGGACTGTAGAGGACAGAATCTGTCCAGAAAACCAAGTCCCAGCAAGGTCAGCAAGTCCAGGGAGCCCCCGTGGGCTCTGACGGGGGCTCCTGGCCACTGTCCACTCTGATACAAATTTATATTGAATTTTATCACAGTGCCTGCTTTGGAGGGCTTCGGGGGACACCAACCCATGAAGGTGGGATGGTCAGTGTACACATGACCGGCAGGCCTCCAGTGACTGTGGTGTACTGTCCTTGGTGCAAGGGTTCCTCAGCCATTGCTGCTGTGTCCTTGGGCGAACCCCAGTTCCCAGCCTCTGAGATGCTACCCCAGCATCTTTAACTCCTTTCCTCAAGTGTTAACCCACTCACATCTTAGCCACAGTGGCAGAGGCTCTGTCATCTGGCCACAGTCACTGCTCACCTTTGGCCACTAGGGGGCACTCAAAAGCCTTGTATTTCCCTGAATCTGTTGCCCTGGGTCCTGGGTCACATTCCTATGGAGGTCTGGCCTCCTTCTGGTCACCTGCCCCTCCCAGAAGTGGGAAGCTGGGCTGGGAGGCAGCCAGGCTAGACCCAGCTCTGGGTTTAAACTCCTTGGGGGAGTTCTCTACTCTGGGCCTCTGTTGTCACCTTTAATGGCGCCAGCACTGGCTTCTGTAGACTACCCGGAGCCAGTGAGCAGGGACGACCGTGCAGCTGTGTGACTTGGGTAACTGAACTTGCAGCCTGTTAGCTGTAAGTCGGGGCCAGTGACAGTATCTGCCGTGCAGGCTTGTGGGAGGTAAAGACTTCATTCATGAGCAGAGCGTCTGGCACACAGACACGGAGGGGACTCAGCGTTGGCCACGGGCACTTTTCACCAGGGCCCCATGCTGTGTTGGGTCAGCAAGCACAGTTCCTTGGCTCCTTGCAGCCTCTGAGGAGTGGGGGGTGCGTGGTTATCACACCCATTTTAGAGAAAGACACCGAGGCTCAGAGAGGCCAAGTCCCTGCCCAAATGGACTTGGCACTCAGAGCCACAGAGTGCTCTAGCCTGGCCTGCCTGCTGTGCGTGTGGTCATGCTCTGAGTTGGAAGGAGTGGTAGTGTGTACGGGAGGGGGTCCCCCAGTTCTTAATTTGTTAGCTGGGCTGGGAGTATGGAGCAGGGTTCAGGCGGAGGCTGATGGTGGAGGACACGCTGACCACATGCGGCCAGGAGACGGGGTGAGGAGTTTGGTGGCTTCCCCGTATAACTTGGGGTCTTCTATCTCTGGGGACAGCAGGTGACTCAGAGGAGGGTATGTCTGCAGCGAGTGACTTTGTGTGAATTGTCTGCTGGGGACCTAGGGGGTGGTGGAGGGAGACAGAGGACTCTCTCCCGCAGCTGACTCTATCCTGCCTCCCCAGCCTATTGCTCTGGCATGTGCACTCCCCACAGACCCCTCATTGGGTCTCAGCTCCCCCAAGTCTCCTCTCTGCCCTGCACCCTGACAGCCTAGGGCAGCCACTGGGGCTCAGTGTAGCCAGAGATGCGACTGCAGAGAAGCCAGTGTCCAGCCACTGTGATCAGGTGCTAGGGAACGGTTCTCAGTGAGCTGGGCATGGTTGGAGGCAGGGAGGGGAGATGCTTATTTCTGGCCAGGCTGCTGCTTCAGTCTCTGGGAATGGAAGATAGAAATGTCACCTCTCAGAGCTTTTCCCCGCTGCATCTGGTGGTGTCTCTGGAGGGAAAGATCTTGGCAAAGTGACAGGAGCATCCTCGGGTGACAGGCTCTGAGGGAAGTCCTCATGATGTTGAGATGAGCTGGGTTCTCAGTGAAGTCCCTTCCCCCATCCAAACTGAGACTTTGAGAAACTGAGGGGAGGTCCACTCAAGGCCCTTAGCAGAATCAGGACCATGCTGGTCACAAGTCCCTGAACTCTGGGGTCCTGTGACCTCCCGGCAGGAACTATTGTGGAGATTGACTCTCCCAGAAGCCCCTGTGTATCCGTCCTCTACGTGTGTCTGTTCCTTGGTGTTTGGCACATGAGCTCATAACTGGATTGGTGGCTGCTGTCTCTACCCATTATAGTTTCCCAGAGGGCGGGACCTATAGCTGCTCCTGTCTCTGTTCTAGGCACCCAGCTCATGGCCCAGCTGGTCGTAGGTGCTTTCTGAGTGTGAGTGGAGTGAACGAATGAGGGAGAGAGAGTCAGAGAAGGGGGGAAGTGCAGGGTGGTCCCCAGGGCAATGGAGTATAGTAGCAGTCACCCCCGTGCAATGAGGGTGAAGGACCCTGGTGGGGGAAGGTATTTGGAGCTCTCAGCCAAGCTCCCCCTGCAAGGTTTCAGTCATTGACCCATGTGCTCTTCTCTCCCATAGGTGGGGTTCCCTGGGACCTGGAGAGTCCCCCCATGTGCTTGACGGTGGGCCCAGGGCCCATTCGCACACTACTGAGCCTGGAAGATGCCGCATGGGCCAGCTGTGGGCCGCGGGTCACTGTCCTGGATGCTGCCACTCTGCAGACTCAGGTACCCATACCCAGAACTTGCGACCCCAGAGTCCCTGCTGGGACACAGAGCTACAGCCATCTTGTGGCCCGTGCTTTTTAAGCAGAGGTATAGGTGGGGGCAAGCTGTGTGTCTCTTCTGGGATGAGGGCCCAGCCTCACGGGCTATGCCAGGCTTGCCTGTCCCACCTCGTCACATCCCATGCTTCATCCTTAGTGGCTGATAGGGACTTTGTGGTGACTTCCCAGATGGTATTTTGGTGACATTTGCCATTGTTGATGTGTTTGGATTATTGATCTGATCAGGATATGGCGCCAGACCTAGAGGGGAGCCTGACAAAGGTCCCCAGACAGGCAGGCTCCTTGGGCATGCACCCTGGTGGGGGCCTCTTTTCCTGTCTCTGCTAGGTTCTCTGTCTGGGACACCTCTGATTTGATACTTGATAGCTCAGGCACCAGGCAGAACTTGGTGCTGCTAGCTTGTAGGTGGCCAACGCAGGGTCCTGGAAGGTTTAGTTCTCACAGGATAAGTGGGAAAACTGAGGTATGGGTGCCATGAATGATTTCTAGGTGTGTGTGTGTGTGTGTGTGTGTGTGTGTGTGTGTGTGTGTGAGAGAGAGAGAGAGAGAGAGAGAGAGAGAGAGAGAGAGAGAGAAGTTGGAGATGTAACCTAATAGTCTCATTATCCATGTTCCTGCTTTTGCTGAAGGCTCAATGTGAGAGAGAGTCTGAACTGGCACATGGGTCTGGGCCAGTCGTCACTTGGACAATGAACACCTTTGTGTTCCCCATGGAAACACTGGTTTCTGGTACATGAAGGAGGACAACATATGTCCTTTCTGAGGTCCTGTGGCTCCCTGTAGGAGGCAGAACCAAGAGGTCTGTGGGTGTCCTAGGTGAGGAGGCTCATGCAGGGCCAGAGGCTGAGGCAGTCTCAGGAGTCAGAGGCCCAGGAGAGTGGTTGGTCTCACACACAGGTCTGAGGACCAGAGAGTCATTAAGGCAAATGCCAGTTTGAAGCAAGCAGTCTGAGGACCCCAAAGCATTGAGGCCTGGCTCTGAAGATGGAAATACCTTCCATCTGCCTTAGCTACCAAGTCAGAGAGCAATTCTCCCTCTCAGCTGTGGTGGTCGCTGGACCACGTGAGGCCCACACACTTGGGGAGGCCATCTGTGTGGCTCTGTCTACAGGTCAAATCTTTTTCTTCTACTGAAACACTCGCACATACATGCCCTGTGTCATGTTTGACCAGCTACCTGGACACTGGTCAGGTCATTGCCTGAAGTGACGCTAAGTGGCCATGTTGAAAGAGCTGCAGTACCAGCCCACACCAGCAGGGGCAATGTGGTGGACATGGGGGCAATTGGATGACTGACTGTATGTCAGCCAGCTCTTTAGCAGGGGAGGCTCTGTTTTTGTGAGCCACACGGCTCACGCGCACAACCTTGAGTGTCATTCCTCAGGTACTGTCTATCTTCAAGACAGAGTCTCTCTGATCCTGGAACTTATCAACTAGGCTGGCTGACTGTGTTCCCCTGCGATCTGCCTATCTCTGTCCCACCTCCATTCCCAGCATTGGGATACAACGCCTTCCTCTATTTTCTTTCTTTCTTTCTTTCTTTCTTTCTTTCTTTCTTTCTTTATATGGGTTCTGGGAGTTGAACTGAAGTATGCACACTATGCCATCTCACAAGCCCCATGCTGGCATTTGTAGAGAGAAAGCTGGGGTTGCTGGTAGCCACTTTGCTGCTCCAATGGGGTCTGTCCCATTCAGAGGTTACTTGGGCATGGCACTGAAGACCTGTGACCTCCCTGGTGCTGCTGGGCCAGACCAGAGGCCAGGGAGGTGTGGCCAGTGAGAACACAGCCCCGTCTTCCTGATTCCTTGTTTTCCTGAAGAGTGGGGAGGGGACCTGATAGCTGTAACCACAGACCCTCTTCCTGCCCCCCCTGCTGTACCCTAGAAGTCTTCCCTGCTAGGACCCCCCCCCCACTTCCCTTCAAGGCCCAGCCACCTTCTCTATCTTGGGAAAGGAAGGCAGATGAGGTCAGCTGGCACACCAGGTCCTGTGGTCCCTGAGACTGTTCCCTTAGAAGTCTCTTTCAGGGAGGGAGTGCTCTTTCAGGGGAACCGAAGATGGTGGCTGCTGTGGAGCTGGAGATCAGACTGGGGAAGCTGGAAGTTGGCTGCCTCCCCCAGACTCCCGGGCGATCTCGTTTACAGGAGCAGTGGAGGCTCCCCAGAGGGGAGAGTTGGCAGGACTGTGAAGGGCCCCACCTCTGTCCCAGCCACTATTGGCCCATCTCTGTCGGTAGGGCACCCTGCACTCCTGGAGGGGGTATAGTTTGTGAGCAGGGCTGGGATAGGACAATGGCTTTGTCTCTGCTGTGCTTTGTGACCTGGGCGGGTCACCGAACCTCCCTGTGCAAGGTGGTTAGACATCCATGATCCTGTGTGCTTAGCTCCCCGACTTTCAGCTGTGTGAGGCCTAGAGGGTCAAACTGCTTGCATAGACTTGGACATCAGTGGTATGGGCCTTGTCAGCCTCCGTTGGCAGGGCAGGTCTGCCTCCCTCTCTCTTCATGGGAAGAAACTCCATCCCCTCCTGCCCCAGGAGTGTGAGCTGGGTACAGAGGAGGTTTGTAGCGCCTGTGTGGCTCCTCTCACTCAATTCTGCCCCTCAACGGCCACAGTATTGTCTGGCTCTGGCCGACTGTCCCAGGGCTCCAGGGACCTCCTGGCTCCTGTGAGGCTGTGGTGATTTAAGATTAGGTCTGGACCAGCTGCTCTTATGGCAGGGTCATTCTGGCCTTTCACCTGTTCTGTACACCTGGCAGGGAGCCCAGGGTCACTGGCCAGGGAGTCCGAACTGGAGGGGCTGGGAAGCCGGAAGGAGAGCGTTCCTCGGCAGTTGGGAAGTTTCTATGCAGGTGAGTGGCAGCTCGCCTCCCCCTCCCCCATACTTTCGCCACAGCCACAGTCGTAGCTCAGTTACAAGATCACACCATGTATATTTAATAGAGCCGGCCTCCTGCCCGAATGGAAGGGAGCTGCCCGCTCTGGCATTGTGTGTTAGAGCTGGGTGGCTGCTGCTAATGACCGCAGACTCAGCCTTGGGCTAGCTGGCGCCAGGCTTGCCTCTGAGTCCCTGGTGAGACTAGCCAGTTCTGGGGGAGCCTCTAGAGTGTCCACACATTTCTGTCTATGGTTGTACTGAGCCTGGGTTCAGCACCTGCAGGGTCTTCCACGCCCCAGCATGCTGCTGGCTTCCAAGGGATCCCTGTGTAGCACCTGCCCATGTAACCTCCCCCAGGGTTGAGGAGGACCATGGGGACTGAACATTCTGGAAACTTAGAGCCAGCTAGCAAGTGTCCCAAGCTAGGAGACCTGGTCGTGCATTTCTCACTGGTACAAGGTGAAGACACCAGGGTTAATCTAGGTGTCTCTGTGCCTAGGAAGTGACAGTGGGTTTTGGACCTGGCCGGGACTTAATGTATTTTGCATATATAAACGCATTTTATCTTTAAGCCACCCTCTGACAGGGCAGTTGTTCCTGCTTAAAAGATGAAGAAACAGGCACAGAGAGGTTAAGTTATTCGCCCGAGGCTACATAGCTAGAAAGAGCCAGACTCAGGATTTGAGCACAGGTCTTACGGGTCTTAATTCCCAGGCAGCTTGTCTCAATAAAAAGGAGGTTCAGCCTCTTTTGGGATGTCACTCTGGGGGTTCCCGTTAGGAACCTGCATCTTTTACTATTGCATCTTCCGGGTCAAGGATTGTTCTTTGCACCTTGTGTCTGGTTCATTGATGGTGACAGCAGGTGCAGCTTAGGGGACAGTCCTAGTGGGCAGCTGTTGGATGCAGTGTATGCCACCAGCCTCCAAGACGAAGCCAGACCTGGCCTCTGTTCTTCAGGAGTTCTGAGTCCATTGTGGAGAGAGACCAGGTCTATGGTGTTACTTGGCATGGTGAGGTACCTGGTGTGGCTGGAACCCAGGGAGGCAGGAGCAGTGCAAACTCTTGCTAGAGGGTACACAGGACCTGGGAGGTGGGGATCAGGGCTGGGCTGGGCTGGGGCAGTAGTATGTGATATGTCACTCAAGAGAAGAACAGGGTGTCGGTTGGGAAGAAAACAGCAGGAGTCAGGCCCACATCTTGGGAGCTGGAGGCAGGCGTGACACCAGGTGGGCAGGGCGGTGGGGGCGGATCTGGGGAAGGGATCACTGAATGGAGGATTGTTTTCTCAGCCCACTTGGCTGGGTCCCTGCCTCCGTCCTGACCTTGCTCGGTTCAGGCCCCACGGAGCTGGACCACCGCTGCCTCTGGGCTTTGCGATTACCTCCTACCTCCGATTGCTTGTTCGGCTCCTTGATCCCAGCAGAGGCAGAAGCGAGGCCTGTTAAATAATAATGTGGCTCACCAGGGCCTGTGTCAACACCGCGTCCCCGTGTTCATTATCTGCACCGCCACCTTCAAAGTCTAATCCAGTTGTCTGGAGTTCATTCGGAGTGAGCGATCGCTGGAGGGGGAGCTGGCTGTGGGGTGATTGTTGCATCTTCATTAGAAAAAAACCCAACAAAGACATTGGGGACAGCAGGCTTGAGGCATGCGGGGTGAGCTCTGCTAGAAGGGTGTGGTGGGGTATCAGGCATGTCTGCTCCCACGTGAGTGGCCTGGGGTCTCTGCCTCCTACTCATGGGTCAGGGAGGGGTGGTGGGGACACGGCTGGGGCTGTGGATGTCCTTGAGTTGTTAGATATGTGTAATGCTGCAGACAGGTGGACCAGCTTGGTGTGCAAATGGGTACCAGTCAGAAACAAGCTCTTTTGTTGTATTTTAAAGATTTAATTAAAAAAAATTTCTTTTAGTTATATGCATGCATGTGTGTCTCTGTGTGGTTATGTATTATGAGTGTGGGTGTCCACGGAGGCCAGAAGATGCCATGGAGCTGGAGTTAAGGCAGCTAGAAGATATTTGACGAGAGTTCTGGGAATTGAACTTGGGTCCTTTGGAAGAGTAG